AACTACACGTTTAAACAACTTAAAATATCTATGTAGGGTGAAAAAGAGGGTGTAAGAGTCAGACGTATAAGTGCATTGTCATCTTTGAGCAGTCTGGTGACTGAGGAGATGAACACTGGAAGTGTGTTTGCATCGCGCACATTAGCTGGTAGTCTATTCCAAATGACTGAAAACTTATTTAAGAAGAAGTTGTACCGCACGTAAGTCTGACAGTGCTCTATAGCAGCTAGGTTGTGATGATTTCTAAGATTGTAACTGACGACAGCGGTAGGTTTAGTTATTGGCTCGGAGGAATGCAAGAGAAGATTAGTTAGCTTATAGTAAAAGATTAGGTTTAGCTTAAGGCGTCTTTTCCAGAGGGGTTCTAATCTTAGTCTTACGCATCTCTCATGGTATTCCAGACTACTTTCTAAACCAAGAGTTCTTGAGGTAAACTGCCGTTGCACTCCCTCTAATTTAAGCTTGTCATTTTGTCTTAGTCCGCTAAGAATAAACGGGCAGTATTCTAAGATAGGTCGGACACATACTTTGTATAATAAAACCCTAGTTTCACAACAAAAGAAATTGCGTGTTATGCATCCTATCAGCCTACGCGTTTTACGTCTGGCATAATCAGTCTGTTCAGCGAACGTTAGGTTACTAGAGTATCTAATACCGAGATCTACGACTGAATTGAGCTTAGCTAGTTTTCGCCCAAATGGCTTCATATATATAGCATAACGATGAACAAACCCATCAGTTGATTTGGTATAGCTTTTTAAAGTCATGATACCACCACACAAACAAATTCGCTCTTTCCGGCGCAACTCAAATCCAGGAAATACTGGAAAACGCTAACCTCCTCGAAATGCAACAATAGCTTTGTAAGGTCACGCATTAGAAATGAATCAAGCGCTATAGAACATTGAACTGCGTTCGTGAACCTCATTGGATAATTCGACATCGTTCGTGAATCTCATTGGATAATTCGCTGATTGGTAGTTAGTGGTGTCGAAAGTTTAACTTCGCCCAGAAGTGATAGGGCTAGGTTTGGAGGTTACAGATCCGAGTTTAACTATTTGGACCTGTTGTTAAGTAATGATTTTAGGCCATCCTAATAGTGGGGCAAGTATTTCCAAGAAATTCAGCTTACGTATCGGCAGCAAATTGCCGACGCGGCTGAATGCCTTAGAAATGTTAAGGCAGATGACGACTGCTAATTATCATTTGTCATGGCCACTGGTCACAAAACTAAAGAAGTCTAGGTGGCAGGTTAAACATGATCGGAATGTCAGGAATCCATGTTGGTTTGGACTTACAATATTCCAGCTAAGCATATTCTTGAGTATGTTTTCGTTAAGAAGTCTATCCATAATTCTACATGCTATAGGTGTGGTACTGATGGATGATATGCCGTCAGTGCCAAAACCTTTGGAGGTTTTGAGAATTCTGTTGGCTTTGTCAGTGTTAATATAAATGAAATCAACCGTTGTCAGCCACGTCTCGTAAACCGTTAATGCCCAGCTCTTGCTACACTCGAGCTCACGCTGTTCCTTGAAGTTTCTCAGAAACGCTTAGTAATAACGGACGCAAAACCCAAAACACCAATTGGCGACTCGAGGATTCTTTATTGTAACACCAACATATAAACACTGTTACAACTAAGGTCTGTGAATAAATATTACAATAATGAATCATAATATTACTTCTGACAGTTGTCTGCTGACTTCTTTCTGAACAGCGACCGATGAGACGATGACTGTCGTATTGATGCCTCCGCGAAAATTGGGGGAGTTGGTTTTGAGCAAACAACCATGAATTGATCGTTCAATCTTCAACTACATTGACAACCGTACTAATTTATTTTGGCGCAGATAAAGATAGAAGTTACATTATATTAGTAGGGTGTATACCGAATGATGGGACTTTAGGCTGAAGGTAGTTATTTGCAGATGTTTTTTAAGATAGTTCACATATGTCTGCATGGTCAGTATACGGCCTACCTTTGTCTGTGAGGAGAGAAATGCCGTGATTTCTGCGACTAAATCGCTTCTTTAGGATTTCTGGAAAAGCATACACCCTAACAGGACTGACTAGTGCGGTGCGTTCTTCATTCCTCATACGCAAATCTCGAGCTTATCAGATGGAGTTCAGAGCGGTAAGTATTAATCCTACTGCACTGCAGTCGTGGTGTTTGAAGTAACTTGTCGAGATTCATTATAATGAATATTTGTATTTCCAAATGAATGAAAAACAAAACGATATTGTTTTTAGTGACGTTTCACCGTTTAATGCTAATTGCTTTATCAAATTATTATTAAAAAGTGTTATTAATAACTTGTCAAGAGTTTCTTTAATTTCATACGAGCCTTTGGTTTTATAAGTGCCTTTCTATATAGGGAAACTTTCGGTGTTTGGAGTGGAATAGCAGCATCTAAGCTTGTGTTTGAGTTCTGGTATAGCAAGCTCAGAGCTTTCGAGAGATCATCAGTGATGGAGTATTCTCCCCATTCAGAGGGTCTTAGCATTGATTTTATTAGGGCCCAGTCTGTCTTACTATAGTTCCTATATATTATTTGCTGTGAAGTTTAGGCATAAGCTTCGTCGCTACTTGGTGGAAGTGGCAGTGTACACAGTGTTGATTTTTGGTCGCTACCTGAAAACTTAGAATCCCCTAAGATTGACAGAATATTAAGTCCAATATATTTTTACCTCATGTAGGGAAGGTGACGATTTGTTTCCAGCCAAAAATTTCCAGTGTGTGTAATCCTCGAGAATAAACTTATCCAACTTTTACTACTGTGTGAAAAATGAACATATTGCACATTACTTTGGTTTAGTCAGAATCTCTGTACTTTAAACTTGTTTAGCTGGACCTGTTAATAAGTCTCAGTTGACATCGGGTAGGTTGAAGTCTCCACATGTGATCTTATGCTCGTATGGACGAGTGGATACTTGCTCCAGTACATTAGTGGGTTGAGTCTCGCAGTCGCTAAAGGTGCTAGGTGTTCTGTAGATACATCCTATTACTAGTATAGCACCTTTGAATTGTGCGTTGACCCGTAGGGTGTCTTACGTGTCGCTGAGTTCACTGTTTTCTAGTTGCAATACAGTAAGTGTGTCCGGGAAGTACATAAGGCAGCCTCCTGCCTTCCTACTGTTCTTGTCGCATCGAAAGCGTGTGTATCTATCGATGCTTACCTCTTCGTCTGGTATATTAGACTGATACCAATATTCAGTGATGGTAATTGAGGGGGACTATTCTACCAGCCTGCGTGCCCTGGGCATTAGTAGTTCGTTTAGGATAGATCTAGAGTTGATAATGATTAGGTAAGGTTGAGAGTTGAAATAATGTTTGAGGCACTGAAGCTCGTTAATCAGGCCCAAGTGTGGTTCGAAATCCATTGGTTCTGCTTCGCATGACGTCCTGTGTTACAAGTAGTGTCAGTACCATGTTCACCTGTGTTTATGGAGTTAATATCTGCTCCTTCAAGTGAATAATGAGTTGCATTATTGGACTCGCTAAAAAATAAGGTAATTCTAGGCTCAAGGAGGTTGGAGACATGAGTAGGGGTTTAGTTTGGCTTGTGTTTGTACAATCATTGTTTGTGATTAATAATTGCGTGCGCGCTAGGCTGTGGCTGCCTTCTTCCCGAGAGAGAGCCGACGCTAGTGGTACGGAGTGATAAGATTTAACACGTCTACCACTTGTTTGGTGAGCACTGAAAATGATGTGGCTGATACAAAATTACTGGTAACTAGTAATGCCCAAAGCTTATTATTCTGCCTACCTGGGCTTCATCATATGCGTCGCTGCACTGCGGTTTAATTCCAAGCGGATTTGTGCCATAGATTATGTCAAATATTTTGTGTTTCGTTATACGGAGAATCAGAATGGTTGGTAGCTGAGCTAGGAGTATTGTCACTTGTACCATTTTGCATGGTGCTGTTGCTATGACAGCTCTTATATGTGTAGGCGTATAATGCTAGTATGTGCTGGCGTTATTGACCTTGAAGAGCATGGCCTAATTTCTACTCTTCGTGCGCTTGCTAGTATAATTTTGTGTCTTATTTCCTTCCTAGCAAGGATTCTTCTTGCAACTATTATCAAAATAAATATTTCAAACAATGGAGCAGTAAGCTGAATTATTAGACAAACTTTATACTAACATCCAGTCAACCAGACTATCCACACTTACCTCGGAATCAAGGACAGTAGAAAGCGGAAGTCAAATCTCAAAACGGTTCCCTTTTATTTAAAATAGACTTCCCTCGAAGGCAAAGTCATTTTGTCCAAAATATACTGAGATATTTGGAAACTTTATAAACCTTTAATATGTTATGACCCAAAAAACCATCAATCAAAGGCCGATGGCTTAACACCGTTCGAATGAAGCAGTCTTCCTGGACGTAAACTGGCGATGTGATACGCAATAGTTCATCATAGCAGAGGAGCCGTTTCCTCGCCATCCGGAAACAGGACAAATCAACTCATTTGGAACCCAATAGCTCACAAAAAGGAAATAAGATAATGGATTTTAGAAGTTAGCATTAAAAAAGACAAGAAGCACTCACTATTTTGTAACCCCCGCTGGAATTCACAGCTTGTTTAAATTCACCGTCACGAAAAAATAAGCAAAATTTAGACGCGGCTTTTCATATTAAAATATACGTTACCGTTGTGGAAACTCGCAGAAATAAGTTTCAAGAAATCATAACATAAACACAACATCGTCTAAAAGACTATCGGATTTTGGGTTTTGGGAGCTAATTACACAGCATTTCCCATATTGCACATATTGTGCCATTTATCATATTAGATCAGAGTCAGATAACGATAGATTTTCTTTTATTATATCATCTTAAGGCAACTAAGAAATTTTTCCTTCCATCATATTTATAATGCAACCGTAATTATTAACATAGCTCACTGTGTTGAATTGTGTGCAACGTTATGTGTATGCATCTATCTCAATATTATCACATATAAATTCGAAGGATCTGAACACCTAGAAATTTCAATGATATTTCACCATCTGTTGTCACTTCTTTTATCAATCTGTTCAAGTTTTATTGAGGGTAAGTACACACATTTAACTCAGCAGTTATTCATAATCTATTTCACGACGTAAAATACATTTCATTATATAGAGTTAAGTCACTTGTAATTTTGTGAGCATGTGATTTTTAAAATCCGCTGAATCAGCTTTTCACGTTAATTTGAGCGAAATTACCTGGATTAAGGCGAAACAATTTCTTTATTATTTCCACAAGTAAGACGCATTGCAGTAGTCCAAAGCATGCATTCCAAAACACCATTAATTCAATGTTCTGCCAACACGAAGACAGACATTTGTCGATATTTGGATTGTCTCGCACTCTTATACATTCACTCTCGAAAATCCAAAATCACCAGAATGAATGTTTCTGCAAGTTATACTCTTTCACAAAACTAAGCTGCGTATTGGTTAGACTAACAGCAGCGACTTTGCATAGTGCAAGGGATTATAAGAGGTCTGTATAGAGTAATGACTTCTAACTTGTCCTTTGATGGTCTAGAGTAGGCTACAAGGTTTTCTGTGTAGACGAACTTTACGTTTTAAAAGGTATCAAGTAGTTTTCTGAGCTCTGTTGTAGCATATAACTAATGCCTCTTTTCTTTCAGGTATTTTATCCGGGAAGTAGTAACAGGTAAACAAAGTTAGTTAGTGATCAATTTAACTGCCTCACCATGTTGGTATTATCTAAGTGCCCATATCAATATCCAGGGACGCTTTTCATCTTCTGTTAATTCTATGACGGTTACTAGTGAAAAAGGCCAGAGAAACATCATCTCCAGTCCCTTAAACATGGGCAGTCAACTTCACTTTTGAATTTTCATCAACTTTGTCACTGCTGAATAATAAGTTCTCACATCTAAAATGTTGAATTTTGCGCTTCGGAAATATATGTTTTTTCTGAGATATGTTTAGTTATTTAATAAAATTCACCTGATTGACTTGACGTTTTTAAACATATCAAATTTATGAGTTTCAGATGGTAACTTATTTAATTGTGGTGCAAGTATATTGTTAAGCTCAAGAGCAGAAGGCTCACTAGACATTTGGATACTAGATGAAAGTTACCTGTTTCGCTCCTTTCATCAAGTTTTCATGGGAACTAATGGGGATTTAGATATTTTTTTATGCGTTTTTAATCTTCTCCTATGCACTAACTGGCTGTGGTGAGGACGAAGTAAACGGTGACAATTTTCAAATGCTATCTAGTTCCTCACTTAAAGCAATAGTCAGTACCCGTTACTATTTAGGCCTACTAGCAGGAACAATTTTAGAAGAGCTGCGGATAACAAAGTAATCTGTGAGGTGTATGCAGCTTTGGTGAATTCACTGGAGAAATGGCTGAAACTTTCAGTGGGACGTCTTGATGGGCATTTCAGCTGGCGTACAGTTGCACAGAAGCTACTCGCCATCTAGTCCCGGTATGAATTGTATTTAGATATCACTTCTCAACTGTCTCTATGGTCAAAAATGTTATCTATTATCCAAAACACAGATTAACAGAGGAATATAACGGCGTGATTCCAAATATCTTAACGACGGTTGTGGCAAACTAATGGTGGGATTAGCTGTAGCATTAGCATGTGTGTGTGATATTCCAGGATATTTCCATTGAAACGGTGAGTGTTGTTGGTAATCACTGTTTTAAGAAAGGAAACAAATCCTCCGGTGGTGGTCTCAGGGAGATTAGCTTCAGTAATATGCTACCTAGTATTCTATATTTCATGGTACTGTAACAACAGAAGGCAAGGGCCAGGCAACAGATCGTTTATTTAGGAAATCAACACATATTTATAGATTTTTATGTGCATTATTATATATTATTTTAAGCAAAGAAGTACAGCCTTCTGATTGGTTGTTTCCCACTGAGAGTTAATCTTTCATATATTTATGGCTGTTTCTTGAATGCCAGATCATCTATCTGCTAATTGTATCCGCCCACACAAACTCTGCTGTGATTGGTGTTGATTCGGTCTTTGTTCTTGTTTTCACATGACCAATATTTGGGACATAAACACTGACGTAAACTACTGTCTACCAATTCGGCTAGCAGACAGCTCTCACCACAGTACTATGGAGATTATATGAAGTTCAGACAAGAATGCCGTTATCTTATTGTCACTCATCGACAGCTCCTGGAAAAAAGACATGCTTACTGGTATCCAATACTTTCTGCATTCCTTCACCTGGAGGCTATATATGACTTAATCAATCAACAAGTGACACGGCTGTGAAGGATGTTCCCAAAAAACACTTTGTTCTGATCAAGCCACTCTGCTAAAGTTCATGCATTGTTGATATAAATATAAAACTTCAGCACTGTGGTAGTGTATACCTCCATTATAGATAAGATTTTATTTTGATAAATCACATAGCGTCGCACAGTGATATTAACTGATGACCACGTTTTGAGCACAAACTATTGCTCACAATCGTATCAAGTCACTCATACAACTTTTTACTTCATTTATATACATGAGTTCATGCAGCTGTGTTAAGAGCTTACGGGAGGTTTGTCAATCATTTTTATTCGTTATAGATCCCCTGTATCACCATCTGAAATTATTTTCATTAGAGATTTACTGAATAGTCTAACCACAGCTGACTTCTGTATCGCTGACACTGGTCCGGTTGGTCAATAGTACGAAAAAAACTATACTTCATAGGGTTAAGACACTGACGGAATTCAAGGTTTTCTGAACTCCTTAGATGTCAGACTGTCTGTATGGAGTCCTGAAGATGCTAAGAATCAATGGTTGGGGGCTGTTGGTGATGGTGCTGAAAATTCACTCAATGCGACTTTCTAAATTTTGAAAGCTTTCAGTTTTACTCACTTAATTGCTCTTTTTCCCATAAGATTTTGTCTGTTGTCGTTTCAATGCGTCTTCTTTGCTCATCTTTACAAATAATTTTATGAAATGCCGTAGATGCAACTAGTGTATTTCTGTGCAAAGTTTTCGATTATTAATTCAGTCAATCAATCCTAACAGCTAGAGAGTAGGTAAGGTGGACTAATTCACAGAAAAATAATAAAATATGATTCTGTAAATATCTTCGTACAGTGTTTTCTTAGGTCTATCTGTGTTCGACATAGAACTTTGCACCGATGTGCAGCAGTTCGAGTCGCCACACACTATGTAGAACACAAAGCAAGAGAAGAAAGTAGAAGAAATGCATAATAGATATAGCAAAACGGAGGTGTGAGACAAAGGAAAAGTAGTAACCAAGAACAAAACAGTTTCATGGGAAATCATAAGTCACAGGAGTGGATTCATCTGCACCAGCCATTGAAAACGATTTTGAGCTAGCCATATCACCAATTGTTTCCAGCCTTCATTGGTTTTTACCGTCTCGAGGACCCCAACCAGTTAAGAAGTCTACACCTTCCTACATGGCTTAGACTAACTGTTGTGGACTTCATTGACTGGTGCCATGTTTTGGTTGACCACCGCTAGCTCTTTTCCAGTCTGACCCTATATCAGCTAACATTGCCCGTCGAGGGAGGTGATGACTAGGCATGCATACGTAACACATGTCCTACCCATTTCAGTCAATGTAATTTCATAGCCTCGTCGATTTATTTCCCCACCTTACCTAGCACTCGACTAACCCCTCACCTCAATATTGCTCACCTTATTATACCTCTTCACACGGGAGATAGAGCGCATGCACCTATGATCAAACACAGCTAATCTTTTCATGTCTTCCACTCTCAATGGCCACGTCTCGCAGCCATAAAGGAGGACGGAGCGGACTGGTGAGCAGTACACCCGCCCTTTGGTCGGATATCATGTCTACGCCAGAGTCGGCGTAAACTGGCAAATGCGAAACTAGCCCTCTGTATCCGTGCTGAGATTTCGTCAGAGATCAACCCGTTGGGGCCGACGGTGCTTCCCAAATAAGTGAAGCGGTCAACGCGCCCTACTACTTCACTCCCTATTCTAGGAGCCAGTGTAGTCCAGTCCTGTAACATCATCTTGCATTTGGCGGGAGCGAATCGCATGCCAAAATTCGTAGATTGAAGCTCAATGTGTTAGAAGACTCTGCATTTTGTCAGCGTCCTCGCCTAAAAAGACTATATCGTCTGCATATTCTAGGTCAACGAGATAAATATCCCCGCGTTCAGCACTAGTTGATTATTTCTTCTGGAAGGGTAGTTAGATTCAGTGAACAGACTTCATTGAAATGCCTACAGATATGCTGCACCTTCTTTTTAACTATTTTGCAATTGAATACCTGTCTTGGTCTGTACCGTTTTGAGCCAAAGTTAGTGTATTCATGTAATTCTAAATCAACTGGTAAAATTTTACATTTCCATATGAGAGTAATTCTCAATTATTTTGGCCTAATCACATCAACTTTGACAATTTAATTCCTTTTCGCTTTGTAACAAATATAATATGCCTGTTGTCTTCAATATAATGATTTGATATCTATTTTAAGTGGTTACATATTTCAGGTTCAACCAGGGAATGATATCATTTAGTGAACCACTATTGAAAACTAGTACTCGAGTACTGGACAGCCAGCTGTTTCGTTAGCCTAGTTTTGAACTTATCGCCAGTATACACCCACCTCACTGCTAGGGTCCGAACCCAGGAACCTCAGGTTACAAGGCGATCTCGTAGACCATTCAGAGACTGGAATCCTATGCAATGGCCACTAGCCCATGAATTTCAACTCCTACCAATTCGCGAAGTTTCTGGGTAACTGGCACTGGCCAGGGTCACCGCTAGTAAGTATTTGTCTTCCTTCCTGACCGAGTCGAAAACCCAATGGTCACGACTTTTCACTACAAATCCAGACAACTTTGTCATTCTGTAGCCAGCCAACCAGTCACTAGCGAGAATCAGACTAATTGTTAAGACACTGCAATGTGGTGATGTATGCATTAAATTAAACAAAAAACTCACCGAGGACGGATTATCATTATGTGAACTAGTATCATTTAGTTCTTTTCATTTATCATAACTAGACATATAAGCGAAGAATATTGTTTTCAATTAGATCTTCTCCAGGCTTTACTCTAATTTACATAGACTTATAAATAAAAAATTTTAACCAATGACGGTGATTTTGTGGATCAATTAATAAAATAATAATAATAATGTGGTAAATGTTTTGAAGGTAGTTAATTTCGGTGATTATAATGATAACAAAATATTGATAATAAGGTTTATGCAGGTGGCGATAAGAAGAATAACGAAGATAGTAATATGTGTGTATGTAGACAATTCAATAAATAAATAAATAAATTAGGTCAAATCTTAAAAGATGAAATGGAGCGATAATCAGAGTTTAAATAAATATCATAAAAGTACGAAGGAGATGGAAGATAAGAAAGGGTGGGAGTGTTTTGAATAGAATTCACCTAGGCTAAGCAAGGGAGAGACAAAGGTAGAACAAACTTCTTTTTGTATGCAAAGACTAGGATTGTTCTCTCGAATTAATTCCCATAGCTTCGGCTAAGTGTAAAAGATGGGTTCTGATTCCGTTCGAAAGACTCGATGGAATGCAATAGATAACTTTGAAGGCACTATTTTTGTCCACTTGGTGACCGCTATCAGCAATCAAATGAGCCAAAATAGAACTTCGTATGGATTTTATTTGACCTTTTCCGAACCATGAAGGAAGATGCTCATTAATGCGTTTGTTAAGCTGTCTAGTTGTTCGGCCTATATGGCTTTCTCCACAGGAGCAACTAAATTTATAGATACACATGGAAGAGGCACAGCTAGGTAGCTTATCTTTCGCTTGAGCAATCAAAATTAGTCGGCTGGAAAATGACAAACAGAGGATGGCGGCAGTATAAGTTCGTTTTACCACATTATTATTATTAGATCCACAAAATCACCATCACTGGTTAAAATTTTTATATATAAGTCTATGTAAATAAGAGTAAAGCCTGAAGAAGATCTAATTGAAAACAACAATATTGTTCGCTTATATGTCTAGTTCTAATATTATAAATGGGAATATTTAAAGATTTATCATAACAACCAGCCGTCATACTGTACTGACAACAAATATAATTTTTTTATTAAATGAACACTCCACAAAAGTGTTACACTCTATTTTCATTTACTTTCATTAAATAGGATTTTATTTCCAGAAATTATCACCTAGTTCAGTGGAGAAATCTAAGATAAAAGGAGGAATCAATAAAATTTCTGATGGGAAAGGAATTTTACGTAAGTTAGATTTTATTTAATTCTTTTTTTAGCTATTGTCCCACTCAAACAAAGAGTAATGTTGGTATTTAGTTGATTTCATTATAGCCTAGGCTATCCGTCTCCGTTGACGCTGTTGTGCGAGAACATTAAACAAATGATGTGATAAGTTGGTGGGTGGTGACTAGCAGTGGAATCCAGGATAACGCGCATTTCGTCCCATCTGGATGTAACTGCATTCCCCACTGATGCTTCAGCCCAGTATCCACGCTATCAAATACTAAAGCATTATCCACTAGACCATTTGAGCGACGAGTGCCGCCTCTTGTGCAATGATTTTCAGTTGCTATTATTTATTTCAGTTTGGACTTTTACCGCTGACTGACTGGATCGAAGTACTCGGTCTTTTCATACATTCGGTTCCTTTGATAAATTTCAATAGAGAAATGAAGATCAGATTTTGCAATATAAAATGATATCATTATTCTATTTTACAGGTTCTCATCAGTTAACTGCAAACTACTTCAATCTTTGAAAGGTAATAAAGAAAACATTTTAAGATGAACGCATCCGGGAATATACTAGTACTAGAATCTTTTAAGTTAATTTTAAGTTACCCTTGATTTATATGCTTTCAGAATAGAAAAGGATGGGGTGAGGGGTGGGTGGGGGAGGAGAAGATACAAGACATAAAAATCGAATAGACAATTTTAAAGTTTAAAGTTCATTAAATTGAAGAATTGCTTAGTGAGCTAGCTGAGCTTACTAGTGTGTGTGTGTGTTTGACTGATCAGTGTAATGAAAGTAATACGGTTACCAAGGGAGCGAGTGAGAGATTGACTGAATAGAGCTCAGTGAGCAAGTTTCTAGTTTCTATGAACAATCAACCTTCTTGAGTTGATATGTAAACACTGTTTATTAGATTTTTTATGTTTTCAATTCTTTTCTCCCTCCTCTCTCCCTTTTCTGTTTTGAAATCACATAAATTGATAGCAGTTTAAAATAAAAACAATTGTCATGATTTTATTTCGGATAAGATGATTTTATAATGTTTACTCTACTACTGCTTTAACGACAGAAGACAACGGCCAGGCAACAGATCGTTTATTGAGAAAATCAACAGATATTTATAGATTTTTATGTATATCATTATTAGCGTTATTGTTAGCAGAGAAGCAACCTCTTCTGGTTGGTTGTTTTCTTGCTGAAGGTTATTTTGTACTGCTTCTGACCATTTCTTAGAAAGCTAAGCCACATATCTGCGAATTGTATTTCCACATGTAAAATTTGCTGTGATTGGTCGGGGAGTTCCTCAAGATTAAGCTTTGTTATTGTTTTTTTCCCATGACCCCGATTCGGGACATAAACACTGACGTCAATTTTCATCATGAGCTGATGTCAGTTAGAGAGCCGCTGGAAAACCTGGGAGTACTGGACAGCTGTTTCCTCCGTCCTAGTTTGCGACTCTTCATCGGGACGCACCCGCCGGGATTCGAACCCAATCAAATCCCTACAAACCAATACTTGAATATCAATCAGATGCTCACTAGCGACTGGCTTTTTTCAGGTAGGTAGTTACTTGGGGTTCTAGTGAGAATTCGTGACCAGTAGGGTGCAGCAGGTCGGGTGTGAGGACAAATACTCGCCGAAGATATTGGCTAGTGGTCGCGCTATGTCGTGAATTGGAAAAAGTTAGAATTCACGGGCTGGCCATTGGATCGGGTCCCAATGGCTTAGTGGTATACGAGCCAGCTCGCCTTGTAACCAGTAGGTCATGGATTCGAATCCCGATGGATGCGTACTGCTGAAGATTCCCAAACTGGGACAAAACAGCTGTCCATTATTCCCAGGTTTTCCAATGGTTCTCTAACTGATGTCAGCTCATGATGAAAATCCTGTAACCAATCAAATCCCTACAAACCAACACTTGAATACTGACGTCAGTTGTTGTCTACAATTTCGGCTTGCAGACAGGTCTCACCACACTATCAATCAAATATTGAAGTGTTTCGCTGTCATTAGTAATAATCATTGTAATTTCAGGTAGTGGTGTACAGCTGATGAGCTGTAAAATATAGAATGACGACATCATTATGTACTGCAGACCTGGTCTTCCTTTATTTATATGGTTCACTTAAAATCGAAGTGAATAAGGGAGACTGATTGTAGTCCGTATTTACGTTAAGCACGTCATTGTTATATTGGGGGCTTATTTCATTTCATCAAATTAGAAATGAATTGATTTCATACATTTTATCCCACTTAATGAATTTGAATAAAGCAAGAACAGAAGTTTTTTGCAGAATAAAATAGTATCATCATCGGTTAGTTCATTAGCTTCCCATCAGCTGCTTACAGACCAAAGACATTGTTAAGGATATGTACAGAAATAATTTTAATATACTTGCACACAGTTCATTTTTAAACAAAAATCGATCATTATAAGCATACAATAATAATATATACATATATAATACTAAATACTTTATCCCGAACAATAATGACCATAAATAATGGAAACTTTCAGCATTACGTAATCAGATGAAAGAGAGGTGAAAATATCCAATTAACAGGGCCAAGAAAGACTGATAACTGCCTCTTCCTGAACGTATAAATCAGTTTTCAAGCGCTTGATGGAGAATGCTTCAGCAGACTTGAGAAGAATTAAATTTTTTTACCTGTTGATAACTTTGAAGGATCTTGCGATGTCAACCTCGAGACCTGTGACAAGGAGATTCCTGGCGATAGCACTGTTCAAAGTATTTATTCCCTTTAAGCATAGACATTTTGTTACATGTTCATAAAATCCTAGATATGCCCTTCATCTTTCTGTTCTTCCAATGTAACTGCTCCCACATATACATATAAACTTATTCATACAGTTGCAGTTAACATGAGAAAGATATCTATCAACACATCGATTGCACCAAAGAGCAAGTTGTTCAATAGATGGGAACGAGCTTAGCTGCAGGACAGGCTCTGGCTAGTGTTGTCTTCAATTTTCTGTTGACAACTGCCATAATATTTTCACCTTTAAAAACAAGTTGAATAAAAATGGGCCTGTTTTTCCCCACTGTGATTTGCTTGACAAAAATGATGGTACCATTTTATTCTGTTAAAAACCACTGTTGTTTTTGCTTTATTCAAATGCATTAATTACTTCTACCATCTTATATATTACATGCAAATAATTCATATATATATATATATATATATATATATATATATATTTAGATAATGCTATCGGTACACTGAACAATATCAATCAAGACAATGTGTTTGTACGTATTGGTTCAAATAATACATTTAAATGCGGTATCTTGCCTAAAAGTGTATCCTCTCAACTACAAGGTGTTTGGAATGCTAAAATGATTAATGGTGAAATGGATTTGTTATCTTTTAAAAGAATCAATAACACTGAAATAGTCATTCAACCACCAATAGGTGCATCAGTCTATTATAAAACTGGTTGGACAGAAATTCTATGCTCATTTAAAGAATTACAAAGCAGCAAAGTGATTTTTAGTTTTAAACGGTTAATAAAAGTAGTTGGTAAGTAGAAGTGAATTCAAGTTAAAGTATATCCTTTCAAAATTTGTAAGACAATTTGTGCCTGCTTAATGTTTATAGGATATAATAATAATAATAATAACAAACTGGCAGAAGAAACATCAAAGATAGGCCTTCACTCCAGGTGAGCATAGAGAAAACGGAGGTAGGTGATGAAGATTCCTGGCCAACACCAACAGCAACAACAAGAGAAAACAGTCAGTATAAATGGGAGGAACCTGGAAGAAACAATCTCCTTTAACCACCTACCTACCTGAGATGCATTGTTTCAACTACAGGCGGACGGAACTGACGAGGATATCAAAGCCAGAATCAGAAAATCAAGACAAGCTTTCATTACTCTCAAGTCTGTGTGGAGGTCAACAGCACTACTCAGCATCAAAATTAGGATCCGGATTTTCAACTCCAATGTGAAGTCAGTCAGTGTTACTATACGGATCAGAGACTTGGCGCGTCTTAAAAAGAGCATCTCAAACAAACTACAGACCTCCATTAACAGTTGTCTTCATTCAGTGCTCAAGATCAGATGGGTGGCCAGAAAAGATCAGCAACAGGGATCTCTGGCAGTGAGCGAACCAACCAGAAACCGACTTTGAAACAAATAGGCAGGAAGAAATGTAAATGGATTGGCTGGCCATACTCTGAAGAAACAAACCATCAAGTGAGTGACATCACCAGACAAGCCATTGTTCGAGTGGAGTCCGAAAGGGAAGCGGCAAGTTGGTCGTCAGTGCAAGGGTGACTTGGAGGAGGTCATGTGGGGAGGAGATGAAAGCATGTGGGCAGACTTGGAACGGAGTGAAAAAGTTGGCAGAAAACTGAAGGCAATGGAGACTTGGGCAGCTGAAGCCCTATGTTCCTCTAGGAATTAAAGGATATAATAATAAGATTTATAGACATTCATACAAGTTGTACTCACACTTGTTGCCCCAAGTTTGGGATATGCGCTAGTGATACACATCCATTGGCTCCTAGTGATTGTGAATGGTCTATAAGCATGCTTTGTAACCAGAAAGTCCTGGCTCAAACCCTGGCTGTTCAGCACTCCTTTTACACTTGATTATTTCTTTAGTAAAGTATACTTATATAGAAAAGTTTCAAATTTTTTATTTGGATTAGAATTGAGTGAGTTCCTATGAGATTATCATGGGTTTGGATAATTAAAACTGATTAGAATAAGTGAAGAGTATGTAGGATTTAAAACAATTAGTTCCCTTTATGAATTTAGCTAAAGCAATTAGAAGACCGACGTTACTTCATTCACTTATCTAGGGAGCATTGTCTCAACTACAGGGAGTGGGAACGGACGAGGATGTCAAATCGAGCGAGAATCGGGAAGGCGACAAACACATTCATAAACCTGAAACCAATCTGGAAATCTTCGTCACTCAGCCAGCATCAACAACAAAATTCAGTCGGATTTTCAATGCAAACGTCAAGTCAGTCAGTTCTTCTATACGGATCAGAAACTTGGCGAGTGGGTCACAAAGAATATTTCCAATAGCCTGTTACAGACCTTCATCAACCAACAACTGTCTTCGCTTGATCTATACTGAAGATCAGATGGCCGGGCGGGCCGGAAGGAATCACCAACAAGAAACTATGGCTGGGAACAAACAAAACAAGAACCAATCGCCAGACAACAAATATACAGGAAATAGAAAGTGGAGATGGATTGGACACTCGTTGAGGAGGCGGCCGCTGGGTGACATCGCGCGCGTCAGGTCATTGCTTGAGTGGAACTAGGCCGAAAGGGAAGTGGCGAGTGGGACGTCAGTGCAAGGGTGATATGGAGGAGATCATGTGAAGAGGATTTGAAACAGAATGGACTAGCAAGGATACAGGTGAAAAGTACGGCAGAAGGAAGACAGAAGCAAGTGGAGACGTGTGGTTGAAGCTCTATATTCCACTAGGAACCCAAGGGACAATAATCATAAATAAGAAGTAATTTGTTTGAATTGTGCAATGTTGTATTTGCGCAACACATTTCAAACAATTTGATCACAATTCCCGGACTTGTCATAGGAATTCATAAAGAGCTAAGAGGTGAGGAAATAGACTACTTAGGTAAAGTTAAAAGGACATATTGAAGGTTAAAATAACAATGAAGATCACTAAACCAAATAACGGAGATAATAGTAAATCTGCTCTGGTATCAAAACAAAATTTGCCAAAGAAGGTTTAGTGTGATTACGAATTGTTGCCTTGAACGCATAAAGATTGGTGTAAACTTCCTAATTGCCAGCTAGGGCTTCTACAAACTTTAGGATACGCCCCAAACACGTTTCATAGATAGGTTTAAAAGATATGTTAACGTCAATTTTATATCCTGTCTCTATAATATGTTTCGCAATAGAGGAGCTAGCTCTCCTGTTCTCATCATTAATTAATGGATTCAGAAGATTCTTTTTGTTTCTGGAGCCATTTATAAACATGTTCTGAATCCATCCCTTACTTGCAGAGATCGATGAGTCTTCCCTTCTGTCTCTGTCTGTCTGTTTTCGACATTCAAACTGATAAATAAATTGGGATGTGACATCATTTTTCGCATGTTTAAATGGCTTAGGTGGATGGATGGATATATTGGCTTCACATTCTCAATTATTACTATGATTTAGCTGCATAAAGTCTTTTTAACCACAGCAGCGTTCAATCTCTGTCTAGTTATCAAGCTGCCTGCTATGATGCTCCATATAGGGTAGGTAGCTTGATGTACACGTCCTTCTAAGTGACGAGTTAAAGAATGGATTTTGGTGTTCCACTGATCATTTTATATTCTATCTTCAGTGCAGACTGAATTCTACCAGTGAGGTCTGCAATGAAGCCACCGTGCCACTAGATGGCTCGTCATCACAGTGCACTTTGAATAGTTGATATTGAATGGTCGGAGGTTATCTGCAGGAAGCCCTACCTAACCTGTGTTTCGTGGTAGCAGTTGGCATTCACCAGTTAGCAAGGCGTATCTGCAATCGTGAAGGAATCCTTGGCCGCCCTTCTGATATTCTGCCGCCAAATGGAGACCACTTCGAATCAACAAACCATTCAATGTTCACCAACACTGAATTTACTGAATCAGTTGTGTTCTCTGAGCTGGTTGATTTAATCGTCGTCCTCTTAGAAAGCATCTTCAGAGCAAAGTTTCAGTATAAAATTTATTCTGCTTTCTTTTTCCTGAGTCGTGTTGTTCACACAACTGTATCTCTTTCTCTCTCTCTCTCCCAACTTAAGGTTGTCCAATATTTGGAACTTTAAATGGAGTAGACACGGGGGATGTTATCCTGCCGTTTGGATCAAATAAAAAACTTCGTTGTGCTATAAAACCTGATAATATTGAATCAACCCTGAAAGGTTATTGGTTAGCTAAACAAGTAGGCGGTGAAAAGGATCTATTAACGATTAAATCGTTAAAAAATACAATAAGTATTGAACCTCCCGTCAACAGTAGTAGTTATGAAACTCCAGGTGTAACTGAAATTCAGTGCATATATAAAAGTCAACAAAATACCAGTTTGTACAGTTTCAAAAGAACTGTAAGAATAGAAGGTATGTGTTTTTAATGATTGAGAGTGTATATCTTTGAATAATTTGAATGTACAGTTACAGGACTTCATCATGAGCTGATATCGGTTGGAGAACCATTGGAAAACCACGAAGGAGTACTGGGAAACCAGCTGTTTTTGTCAGCCTAGTCTGAAACCCTTCATCAGTACGCACCTACTGGTGTTCAGACCCCACCGAAGAGTCCAAAAACAGAACGACACGGCTATCCAGTGATCCCTGGAGGTTTTCCAATCATTCTGCAGCGAATGTCAGCTCATGCTGAAATCCTGTAGCCAATTAATCAAATCCCTACAAGTCAGTACTTGTATATAACAGTGTTAGACAGATGGTAAATGAGCTTCTTCCTGGTCAAATTTGAGCAAGAAGTTCTTCACATCAGCTAGGAAAGTTAGTTGGTTCACCACACATACAAAACCAATACTTGAAAATTAACCTGATGTTCACTAGCGACTGGTCCTATTCAGGCAATGTCCTGGGGTTCTAGTGGGAAACAGTGACCAGTAAGGTGCAGCAGGTTGAGGGTGGGGTAGTAATTCATCAAACAAGATATGGTGCTATGCCATGAATTGGCAGAAGTTAGAATTCAAGGATTGGCTACTAAATGGGGTTCCCGGTTGGTGTGTACTGCCGAAAAGTTCCATACTAGGACAAAACAGCTATCCAGTACTTCTAGGTTTTTCAGTTGTTCTCTAACTGATTTCAGCTCATGATGAAATCTTCTCACCGATCAAACATATGTATATAAGACTAATTTAATAATCCATGTTATCAATAGGCGTCTACCACTACTATTACTCCACTTATCTTACAGGATCATTGCCAAGGCATAGTGAGTGGCAAATTTCGATTTGTGTAGAAAATCTGTTAAACAGTACTGTAACAACAGAAGACAAGGGCCAGGCAACAGATCGTTTTATTATGAAAATCAACACGTATTTATGCATATTTCACATACATTATTATAGCTTATGCAAGTAGACAAGCGCAGTCATCTGATTGGTTGTTTATCAGAAGTTAGGCAGACAAACGCAGGCTCCTGATTGGTTGTTTCGGGATTCCTCGACAAATAGAGTTCTCTATCTGCGAATCATATTTTGCCACGTTAACTTTGCTGTGATTGGTTGTTGAATCAGCCTTGCTCATATTTTCTCATGGCCTGCTCTCACCACAGTACCACATCAAAATATAGTTTTCTAAAAAGTACCAGAAAGATACTTTGTCGTAATATGATCATTATCAACTGCCAACAGGCTGATCTGCTTCTTCAGTTAAAACTGGAATTTAAGCCGCTTCTTATTTTATGTACTAAGGATATACAATTTCAGTTGGATAACAGAATGTACCATAAGATTTATGAAGTGGTGATGGAGTTTCTATTGGGTCCTGTATTATTTGATATTTTTATGGCCAATCTAGAACAGAAAAAACTGAAGTGTGCAGGTGATGGGACAACAGACACTTATAGATACGTAAATGACAGATTCATTGTTTGTAGTGATTTGAATCACGTTTCATGTCTATCGGGCTTATTCAACAATGTATATAATGAGTATCACTTTCAGAACGCGGCACGAAGACGCTGAAATTTCCACTTCTTGGAGTGGATGGACATTCAAGAGATCGATATATAGTAAGGATATTCGGAGCAGTTTCCACCTAAAATTCAGTAGCTTCTGCTTAGCGAAATGAATATGTTCACCTGACAAATTAGACAGTGAACTAATGTTGATTTAGAACTGTTTCAAAGGAAATGGTTACCGGAAAAAAGCTTTATTAACAAATACCGCAAGAATGAACTTAAGAAACGTGACGCAGATGCGGTAAACAAGAATCCAGTTGTCACCGAACTCGACTTTAAAGATAATGGTATTATGAGTATAACAAATAAAAGAATAAGAGCAACCCATTCCAGGACGTATCCTTCAGCAAAATTAATCTCTCTTCTCCTGACATCCTCCTCGTTGGTGCAGTCAAAGATTCACAAGTATTCCTCATATGTTACCTCCAAATGGGTATACCAATTCACGTATATCTGCGGGAGCAGTAACATTGAAAGAAGAGAAAAAAGAAGGGTCTACCTCAGATTCCTCGAACGCGTACCACGGAGTTTCTGGTTAAAAGGGTCAAACAGTCTAAGCTGTTCACTCACCAAACGCCTGATGGACTTATGACACCGATTAGATGTGCTGACATCGTTCATAAAAATTAACAGACAAAATTGGCCAAGTCTTCTTCGGCCTGCTTAGGCTATGGCAATAAAACGCCTGAAACCTGATGTATATGTCCAAGAGGAATCAATTGCCCTGGTGGCTCATCTCTTAGTAACCCCCTCCGCTCTTTCTTTCCATTTGATGTCCATAAGAGATAACTTTTCTTGACCTTATGAGTTTTTACTCATCATATTCCATCATCGTTTTTTCATTTCATCTCACACACACAACAAATTTTGATCCTCTCTTATCTAATTAACTAAGTAAGCCACGTCATTTTGAAAAGAATTAAAGTTGGTATGGATGCAGAACTTCACCGGGAACAAGTTAGATTCAGAAAGGGTAAATTGTATGCTGATTTCACAACCACAAGTAAAGAGAGAGTGTTAGGCGTAAGACTGGCGACGCTACATCACAAAAGCTAATAAACTGCTGGAGAAACTTAAACCCTCAAGAAGGTATATATATATATATATATATATATATATATATATATATATATATATATATAGGACTCTGTAAGAACTGGCGAGAAATCATGCTCCTATCGACACCAAGTAAAATCCTGAGTCGCATCATCCTGGAGAGATTAAAGGACGCACTGGAGACAGAACTCCGACCAGAACAAGCTGGATTCAGGAAAGTCAGGCAAATCATGTACTGACCAAATTGCAACTCTACGCATCATCACCACAAAACAAAGCATGGAATGGTAATCAAACCTCTACCTCAACTTTATAGACTTTGAGAAGGCCTTCGACAGACAGCGTTGACCGCGAATTAATTTGGAAATTACTCGAGTACTACGGCTTACCCAAAATATTCATCAACCTTATTCAACAGCTGTACGACAACAGAACATGTCAAGTGATCCACAACGGAAAACTCAGCGAGGCGTTTGGAATAAGTTGAACACAGGAGTCAGACAAGGGTGCTTACTATCACCAATGATATTCCTAATTGTGGTGGACTGACTGGATTATGCGTCAGACAGCGAGTGGGAAACGAGAAGAAAGGGATATCCTGGACCGACGCGAAGGACCTAGAAAACCTGGATTTTGCGCGTGGATGAATTATGTCTGATGTCACAGTCACAAAATCGAAGACTTACAAGCGAAAACCGACAAACTGGCCGAAGAAGCAGCCGGCGAAGATAGGACTCCAGGTGAACATAGACAAGACGGAGGTTATGAAAATAACCAACCAACCAATAGCAACAACAGCAACATCCAGCGTCAATCACCATCAACGGGAGGGATTTGAAAGAGGTCACTTCATTCACTTATCTAGGGAGCATTGTCTCGACTGTCAAATCGAGAATCGGGAAAGCGAGAAACACATTCATCAACCAACTGAAACCAATCTGGAAATCCTCGTCACTCTGCATCAACAACAAAATGCAGTCGGATTTTCAATACAAACGTCAAGTCAGTCAGTTCTTCTATATGGATCAGAAACTAGGCGAGTGGGTCACAAAGAATATTTCCAATAGCCTGTTGCAGACCTTCATCAACCAACAACTGTCTTCGCTGGATCTATACTGAAGATCAGATGGCCGGGCGGGCCGGAAAGAATCACCAACAAGAAACTATGGCTGGGAACAAACAAAACAAGAACCAATCGCCAGACAACAAATATGCAGGAAATAGAAAGTGGAGATGGATTGGACACTCGTTGAGGAGGCGGCCGCTGGGTGACATCGCGCGCGTCAGGTCATTGCTCGAGTGGAACCCGAAAGGGAAGCGGGGAGTGGGACATCAGTGCAAGGGTGACATGGAGGAGATCGTGTGAAGAGGATTTGAAACAGAATGGACTAACAAGGATACAGGTGAAAGTACGGCAGAAGGAAGACAGAAGCAAGTGGAGACGTGTGGTTGAAGCTCTATATTCCACTAGGAACCCAAGGGAGCAATAATATATATATATATATATAATTACTCCTTCATATATTCATATATTATATTATTCTTTTTATGCACTGAATGGAAAGTATAGATCCTCAAATATTTGGAACAATGAATAATCAAGATAATTCAATTATCTATTTACAAACGAATACATCAAAGAAAGTTTCCTGTAATCTTTATCCTAAAGAAATGCAGAAAAAATATCCTGGTTATTGGATTGGTCGTATACTCAGCAATAAGGATAATATCATTGAAATGAATACAACAGCAACAACAAATGGAACGGTTGTATTTCAACCACCTAAACCATATAAAACTTATACAAATCGTGGTAAAGCACAAGTGGAATGTATCTACAAGTTATATAAAAATAATAAAGTGCTAGTAAGATTTATAAACACTATCATTGTATATAGTGAGTTCATATCTGAAACCCTGTTTTTTATTGGTTAATGATAATTATATTTCATTGATTGTTTATGTACACATACAGAATGGTAAATTTGATGATATTAGCTGGTTGGAGGCAATCAGCCACAGGAAGCCCCACCTGACCTAGGATTCTTGCTAGTTGGCACTCACTAGTCTACCAGACAGGTGTATCTGCAACCGCCTTATCAACAAGGCATATCTGAAACCTTGAAGGAACTCACGTCGCTTCTGAGATTCTAGCCCGCGTCACTCAGTGCTGCCTGCAGTCAGAGACGCTACCACTGATCTATTCGAGCTCGCGATTGACCTCCTGTAGGACTGTAGACTGGATACTTTGATTTGACACTAGCCAGTAACTAGTGTGATGTGTCTAGTCCGACTATCTTTGGTGTAGAGTGAATTCTATCAGTCAGGTTTGCAATGTGGCCACCATTCTAGGCAGTTCGTCATCACGGTGCACATTGATAGAATGACTGATAGGGTTTAGTCTGCACCAAAGATGGGACTAGACACATCACATTAAATACTGGTGTCCAATCAAAGTACAATATTATTTTCGATAACCTGCTCTTCATCAAGTTCCACAGTTATATACTATATATACATATGTATATTAGTGAATAAATTGGTGTTATTAACAATATTAATGTTGTTTAAATAACATCGAATAAATAATATGAATAGATTACAGTTAAATAGCATCAACATAGCAATAAACCGAATGTCAGAAAAATTAGGAAAGATAATAATGCAAATTCATTAATTTATACTCACCACTAGAGGCCAGGGCAGTAGTAGTGTCTAGCTGGACTTGTTCTTTCTTTTGCATACAGAGCACTGGTTGTTTCACGCGAATTTCGACAGCCTCTGCTGTTTGAACATGGGGTACTTCGATGTTTTTGGCGATTTATTTAGCACCCGGTAGATGATAGAGAAGGATACTTCAATGCTGGTTGGCTTTTTGGCCGGTCGCTTTCGACCAGATGGTCTAATATCGAACATTTGGTGATGGTTTTTTACTACACCTTTACTCAGTCATACTTGGAGATGTCCTCGAGCAAGCACGGAAAATCAAGTTCCTAGAGCAACAGCCGACGTAACTCGCTCGACTACAAGCGCTGTTGAATTGGTAGATACAATTAGAAGTGGCTAGTTTGTCTAGGTACTTCATCTTTCAGTCGAGGAATCACCATCGGTTTTGCAGAAAATTTAACTTTTAGTTCGATGGCATTAAAAGTTCTCTGAACTGATTTTCCTAACCAACGAATGGGACTAGACATAAGTTCAAGGTTGAAAATAACGAAAATAAGAATGATTATAAAATAATAACGATGATATGGTGTAAAATTAAAACCACTATTAGTGAATGATTGTCAAAATAATAATAATGAATATAATGAAGTGGAATGAACAAGATTTTGCAAATACGATAACAAGTTAGAAAAGCACTACCTAAACTTAAGGTAATGCAAATCATAAGAAAGGTCGTGAAATCACAAAAATGTCGAAAATGAACGTTTGTCAGTGAAACAGAAGAATAGAAGAAGAAAAGAAAATTGTGATAGAATTTTATCGTGGTAATGTTTATGGAGGATTTGCTGGCTTTATTGTAGGCCAAGGTTAGACTTACTTCTTCTTCATACAAAGAGTTGGTTTTCTGGTATTAATTGCAGCCGCTTCAGCTACTGATAGAAGACGTAGTCGAGCTCCTCTAGATAGATTACTAGGAACGCGGTAGATAACTGAGAACGCCTGGCCAAGTTTTATCGGGTGTCCAGTAACTAACAAGTGGGCTAAGACTGCACTATTTACGTATTTGGTTACCCCTTTACTCAATCATACAGGTACATCTTCACGTGCGCGCATGGATAAAGCCTTCTGAGTACGATCAATGTAACTGGCTCCACCAACTTTTCGTAATTTATCCTTGACTTGCTGTGCGAGTACTGGTTTCGTTGAGAAGTTGAGTACCAGTTTAGCTGCAGGAAATATTCTCGCTCTACTGCTCTGTTAAGTCGACATTTTAGAATGTCAGCTGCTATTTCCCCTTTGTAACTTAACTTAAGATATAAAGATAATTTTTTCACTAAGAATTACATCCAGTACCCATTACTTAAACTGTATGCAACAGAATACCTAAAAACCAGGAAAACCATGTTACTTACTTACTGTAAGTTTGATTACGGATTGATATCAGTTTAAAAACTACTATTGAAAACCTGCAGGCGAGTACTGGACAATTGTTTCATCAGTCTAGTTCATAACTCATCGGTAATATACCCCCAATAGGTGCTCGCTAGTAACATGCTACTGGACAAACTTGCCTTGCTAAAATCACGCATTGATAGAAGTTTGGATTTATGGGCTGGTGGCCATTGAAGAGTCAAGTTCCAATGGCTTAATTGTTCATGAGCTGGCCTTGTAACCTGGAGGTCTTGCGTTGAACCCCGACAGTAGGATGGGTGTGTACTGACAATGATTCTCAAACTAGGCTGACGTAACAGCTGGTTTTCAGTAGTTCTCTAAATGATATCAATCCGTGATCAAACTTGTAAGTCAAATCAAATGTCTACAAATAAACTCATAAAAATGTCATATATCAGCAACTAATTACTTATTTGTTTGTACGAATTCATCACGGAATGATATCAGTTAGAGAACTAGCGAAAACCAGCCAGGGAGTACCGGCAGCTCCAGTACGCATCCATTCACCCACCTGTCGTGGTTCGAACCCAGAAACTTTCGGTCATAAGGCAAGGTTGTATACTATTCAGCCAATGGGACTCGATTTTAATGACCAGCCCATGGATTTTAACTTCTACCAATTCGTGATTTAGCTCGACTGGCACCAACCAATATCATCGGCGGGACATCCATCCTCACACTTGACGCCTGGATGGACCTGACTGGTCACTGACTGACTTATAATTTTAAACAAACATTATCCACTGTTTTACCTAGTCCTTCATCTTAAATTTACATTTTTCTCTAATCCCTCGCCTAATTTTCCCCTTATGATAATCTTATTATTTGCTTTATTCCACTTATTTATTTATTTTATTTTATTTTTCTCTAGCTAATCAAGTAAGCCATTACCTTGATATCCATTCTGAGTATATCTATCGTATACATCTCGGTAGTAATAGAAGAATTTGTTGTGCAAGCTATGAAAAGACTGAACAAACTCCGTATACTTGGAAGATAAGTGTACCTAAAGGCATAGAAGGCACATTAGTTTCATACAATGGAATGAATTGTATTCAACCACGAAAAGGCTATCTTACATATTTAACACCAGGTACATTTAAAGTCACATGTGATTTGAGAACAAAATCAGGAAAATCAACAGGCATATCAAAAACAAAAACAGTACATCTTGTTGGTAAGTCAGATTTCCCTTTCCATCTCTTTTCTTTTCTTTTTTAATTATTATTATTGTATTTTTTATTCCTTTACTTTCCCAGTGATGAAAGTTAAGGCTTCAGGCTAGAGATTTAAAAATCTCTGTAGCAGTAGTGTTTATTTCTACGCCGTTGATTTTGCTTGCCTAAAGTCCAGTCTCCACTCTCCTTACCGGTCTTACTGCCAACTCATTGTGAGGTTTAAAAGTGGGTCTATTGGTCGGTGATCTAACCCTGGACTACTTGCGTGGTTGTCCAGTGTTCTACCACTGAATTGCCGTGTGATGAGAGCTGTCTGCCAGCCAAAATTGTAGATAACAATTTACGTCACTGCTTACGTCTCGAATCGAGGTCATGAGAAAAAACAATAACAAAGCTAAACCTTGAGAAACTCAACAGCCAATCACAGCAGACTTAATGTGTGCAAATACGATTCGCAGATATATGGCTTAACTTTCTAAGAAACCGTCTCAAGCAATACAGAATAACCATCGGCAAGAAAATATACAGCCTATAAATATCTGTTGATTTTCTGAATAAACCATCTTTTGCTTGACCCTTGTCTTCTGTCGTTACAGTCGGTGCATATACTAGAGATATGCACATTTGATCATAGGTGTCTCCGTTCTATCGCCCGTGTTAGGTGGTGATATATTAGGATGGGTGAGTAATATTGAGGTCAGGCATCGGTCGAATGCTTGGTTAGGAGGGAAAGTCAATCGACGAGGTTGTAAAGTAGATGTACTGATTGAGAAAGATGGTTGGGACATATGTTATGTATGCCTAGTTTAGCCTAGCCATCGATTGCCTTCCTGGACAACGGGCAATGTTAGCTGACTGATATAAGATGGATCAGTACGTGGTGGTCGAACCAAAACATGACTTCATCAGTCAATGAAGTCCATAAGAGTTAGTTCAAGCCATCCATGTAAGGAGGGGTTTATAGACTCCGTGACTAGCTGGTTGGGGTCCTCGGGCTGCTAAGAACCAATGACGGCAGCTGGAGACAATTGGTGAGATGGCTCAATGACAGTGCAGATGCATGCATTCACTCTTTGTGATTTGTCAGCTATTTTCAATAAAACTGCACAGTTCTTCCGTGTTACGTACTGCTCAGCAGTCCGCTCCGTCCTCCTTTATGGCTATGAGACATGGAAGACATGAAAAGATTAGCTGTGTTTGATCATAGGTGCATGCGCTCTATCTCCCGTGTGAAGCGGTATAATAAGGTGAGCAATATTGAGGTGAGGGGTTAGTCGAGTGCTAGGTAAGGTGGGGAAATAAATCGACGAGGCTGTGAAGCTACATCGACTGAGATGGTTAAGACATGTGTTACGTATGCATGACTAGTCATCGCCTTCCTCGACGGGCAATGTTAGCTGATATAGTGTCAGGTTGAAAAAGAGCTAGCGACGGTCAAACCAAAACATGGCACCAGTCAATGAAATCCACAACAGTTAGTCTAAGCCATGTAGGAAGGTGTAGACTTCTTGACTGGTTGAGGTCCTCGAGACGGTAAAAACCAATGAAGGCTGGAAACAATTGGTGATATGGCTGAAAATCGTTCTCAATGACTGGCTGGCGCATATGCATCCACTCCTTGTGACTCATGATTTCCAATGAAACTACATTGTTCTTCGTTACTTCTATTTCTTTGTCTCACACCTCTGTTTATTGTCTCTATTATGCATTCCTTCTCCCTTGTTCTCTTGTTTTGTGTGCTACATGGAGTGTGGTGACTTGAACTGCCACACATATGTCTATCTGGATTCAACATAGAACTTGGCACCGAAGTGCAGCAGTTCGAGTTGCCACGTTCCAAATAGCACACAGAGGTAGACAAGAAGATGAGTGAAGAGAATCAATAGAGTTTGACAAGTATAAGAGTGAAACAGAATGGGTAATGGTAGAAAGGAATATGAAAGATTACAGAGACTGAATACATCTGCGCCATTGACAACGATTTTGAGCCATGTCACCTATTGTCTCCAGCCATTGATTCCTAGAGTCCCGAGGGCCCCAACCCGGGAGTCTGCATCTCCCTACCTGACTCAGTTTAACTGTCAAGGATTTCATGGATTGATGCCATGTTTTTGTTTGGCCACCACTGGCTCTTTTCCAACCTGAACCTATATCAGCTAGCAATGCCCGTCGGGGGAGGCGGTGGTTAGGCATGCGCACCACGTGACCTAGCCATCTTAGTCTATGTAACTTTATAGCCTCGTCGATTGATTTTCCCTCTTTGCCCAACACTCTACGCCTAACGTCAACATTACTTACCTTGTGAAACCACCTAACGTGAGACAGAGATCGCAGACATCTATGATCGAAAGCAGTCAACCTTTTCATGTCTTCAACGCGTATTGGCCATGTTTCAGAGCCATAGAGAAGGACGGAGCGAACTGATGAGCAGTACACACGTCCCTTGGTTGATAACCGGATGTCACGCCTACGCCAGAGATGGTGTAAGTCAGCGAAAGCAGCTCGAGCTTTTCGGATCCGTGCTGAGATTTCATCGCCAATCAGTCCGTTGGTGCTAATACAACTTCCCAAGTAGGTGAAGTGGTCAACATGTTCTATCACTTCACTCCCTATCACTAAGTTAGGGTTGACGTGGTCCAGTCCTGTAGCAGCATCTTACATTTTGCAGGGGCGAATCGCATGCCAAACATACGAAGATTGCTGCTCAAGGTGTTCAGAAGACTCTGCATTTTGTCAGCATCCTCCCCTAACAGGACTATGTCATCTGCATATTCTAAGTCCATAAGATTATTCCCTGGTAACAAGTCGATTCCTAAGTCACTACGTTCAGTTAAGGATACTTCCATTAGCATATCTATGATGAAGTTAAACAGAAATGGGGAAAGTGGACATCCCTGTCGGACACCACTGGTTGTTACCAATTCAGATGACAATTCCCCATAAGCCCTTACACGACTACGTGAGTTTGAATAGAGTGCCTTGATTAGTGCAATGTACTTTCTTGGCACTCCCTTCACAGTCAGACATTGCCATAGTACCTTTCGATCCACGGAGTCGAAGGCCGCCTTCAAGTCAAGAAATATGACAATTGTTGGACGCCGAAAAGTGTGTCTATGTTCTAGAATCTGTCGAAGAGTGAAGATATGATCTATGCACCCTCTACCTGGTCTAAAGCCTGCTTGATTTTCCCTTGTCTGTTCCTCCCGAGTTCTGCTTAGTCTATGCATGATTACTGAGCCTAGGATTTTAGAGACTATGTTCGTTAGGCTGATCCCCCTATGATTATCACACGAGGACTTGTTTCCCTTCTTGAATATCGGTATAATAAGTGACTTACCCCAGTCTGATGGTACTGTCTCTGATTCCCAGACTTTGCCTAGTACCTCAGTTAATCTACAAACTAGTATGTCACCCCCATATTTAAACACCTCCGGAATAATTCCGTCGGGTCCTGCCGCTTTGCCTCGTTTCAAATTACTGATAGCTTTTGTAACCTCACCTACAGACGGCGGACCAGTGTCTATATCCCATTCGGGTGTGGTGGATGGCGGGGAGGTTCAGTGTGGCTGTAGGCAAGTTAAATTGTTCCTCAAAGTGTTCTTTCCAGCGTTCAAGGCGTCTATCCTGAGAGCTAATTAAGGAGCCATTTTTCTCAGAAATAGTCTCACTTATGAATTGCCTTCTCCCACCCGTTTCCCTGATGAGTCTAAAGAGTTGCCTAGTGTTGCCTATCGCCGATGCTTTTTCCATCTCTTTTGCCTTTGTCACCCACCACTGTTCACGGTCCTTGCGGAGACTTTTAGTAAGTTTCCTTTTGTGCAGCTTTCGCTCCTCATTGAATTCGGAGCTCGCCGGAATAAGTCTTCTAGCATCTATCAGTTCGGATGAGGCAGTCGAAATCCAGTGGTTTTTACTCACCTTTGGATTTGCCTTATTCACAGCTTTTACAGCTGTATCTATAGCTGACTGAATATTCTTCCAGGCTTCTCCAGGGTGAGCACAGCTGTCGAATTCAGATATGCGTTTAGCTAGTTCTTCCTCAAATAGGGATTTAGTTTCCTGATCGAGCTGGGGACGTGATGGTTTTACCGCCAGCTGTTTCCTACGTCCGTTCAGTCGTAAGCACACACGAGCCCGGACCAGTGCGTGATCGGTATCTACACACGTGTTCCAGAAGGAGCGACAATCTCCTACCGACCCACGCCAACGATAGCTTATTGCTATGTGGTCTATTTGTGTCCAGCGTTGGTTTGATGATGGGGGTCGCCAGGTTAAACAGTGTCTCTCCTTGTGTTTAAAGTTAGTGCTTACAAGAAACAAATGATTATCTGAACAGAACTGTAGGAGACGGTCACCGTTGTCGGTTCGCTGGCACGGAACTCCATAGGTGCCACCGACATCCTTCTCAGATTGACACAATTTCCCTACTTGAGCGTTAAAGTCACCAGCTAGAACGACTATATCTGAGCGTTTAGCCTTTCTCACCAAACTAGACAGCTTTTGGTAGAACTCATCCTTCGTTTCATCCGAACTGCAGTCAGTGGGGGCGTAGGCGGAGATTACGAAAAGGCATCGGCGAGTAGTGCAGTCCTTTCTCCTTCTTACTGATCCGTTCAGACGGACAGCACACATTCGGCTATCTACTGGGATCCAGTCAAGCAATGTCTTTTCTGCCCTAGTACTCAAAGCTATCCCTACGCCAGCTAATCCTCGTGAACTAGCTGTGGCATCTCCTGACACCCTCAAGGTGAATTTTGAAGATTCATCCTGTTGGCCAGGTGGGGTTAGGTGAATAACCACACTTGGGTCTTGTATGCGTGTTTCTGAAACACAACATACATCAATGGCTCGAGATGCCAGGGTCTTAGCTAGTGATGCTTGTTGTCCTATTTGGCAAAGTGTCCTAACATTAAATGCTCCTATATGAAATTGGTGGCGTGGCTTTAGGAGACTATCCGTGGTGGTTTTTTGGCTTTCGTCGTTTTTAGTGGACACAGAG